TTTAATCCGTTTCTCTATCGGTACGTTTTTTTTTTTTTTTTTTTTGGTTAACGCTAACGTTCCTTGCATTTGCGATCATCGCGAAAGAAACTGAGCATACGTTTCATTCACGTGCTATGTACATGGCCAGCTATAGACTTTAGAACACATTTATGACGTAGTAATGAATGAAAGACAATAATCATTTATTTGAGAAAAAGTAACGCGTTAGTACGGTGATGTCTGGAAATATTATCCAGACTTACTTATCTTTAATGTGACTGTAATTGAACCTACGAATCCTTATCTTTACAACTTTTTACCGATTCGCCAGTAAAAATGATCGAACGTATAAACTTTATCGCTCGTCATATTTCTTTCGCCGTATCCATTAAATCGTATCCGTTAAAGCCCGCTTCTTGATACCAGGAAAACCGCATGATACGCAAGTTCTACACCGATCGTATTGCGTATTACTATTTGACATTAACAATTTTTATATATTGAAGGATTAAAATTGGAAATAAAATTACTATATATATATACTCTATTAGTATATATTAGTATATAGATTAGTAGTTAATTAATATATATATGTCGGGTTAGCGTCAGGTTTAGGGGCGTGTAACGAATCTTTATTCGGACTAGCCATCGTTCTTGTGCAACAAAGATTATATTTACTGGTATAAATATGATTTTTACAAATAACCGTGATGACTAAACACTCGAGACGTTAAAGACAATGTTCCTAGGTTCAATAACGAATCCACGGGGTTAATCAACGGGGCAACGCTTTGTTAAATGTAGAATATATTTTGGAAGCACAAAGTAACGTTTGCTGTGACGCTCGGTACAATACTGCACGTAAAGACGATGTGAAAACTCTCCAAGGTGATCGTAGGAATAAAAGACCGATGGAAATTTTCCTCTCCTTACGATCGCGTTTGTTCGTTGCATATTGGCCGGGGATACCAACAAAATTCCAGTCGCCGTTGCTAGGTAGACCCGCGTAGAGCTGACATCGCTCCTGCTCGGAGTTTGATTGTTAACTCCTTCCCGTGCTATTTAGTTCGACGAAACTCGGGCCCAAGCGGTAAACGCGCGCTAAACAGATCAGACTAATGCTCGCAAATAGCAACTAACATTCAGTCACGGTCGTAACGGGCAAAAAACAGTCCGCGAGCTCGGCTTGTTATGTTTACATTTAGCCCAAGTATCTGGTCGCGAGTCAGACTCGCGATATTCGTGTTTGGGCCAAAATCTTCATCGCGAGTCTGACTCGTGATATTCGTGTTTGGGCCAAAATCTTCATCGCTAAAGTACGAGAAGGGGTTAATAAACGAGTGTCCCGCAATATTGGCACTTCTCTGTTAGGTAAAAACGTTCATCCCGTGACCGTGGCTACGTCCGGCGACCAGTTGTTTCATCTCGAGCCTAAGCCCACCGTCACAAATTTGGGGCAAACATAATCGGATTGAATCATAACAACTACTAAGTTTTATTATTTAAGTACAGCTATAATAGATAGTCTAGACTAAAGTATTGGAGATTTTCCCGAAATTCCAAAAGAAATGCCCCGATGTCCTTTCATCTCCGACATATATATATATATACAGGGTGGTTGGTAACTGGTGGTACAAGCGGAAAGGGGGTGATTCTACGCGAAAAAAGAAGTCGAAAATATAGAATAAAATTTGTTCTCTTTTTTTTTTAATTTTTCCATCGAGACAACGATCTATAGTGAGATTCGTTATAACGAGACGTGTAAAGTGCACGCGTACCGAGCGAAAATTCAAAGTCGATTTTCTCGAAAACAAAGCCTCGAACGAAAAATTGTTATTCTATATTTTCTACTTCTTTTTTCGCGTAGAATCACCCCCTTTCCGTTTGTACCACCAGTTACCAACCACCCTGTGTATATACTCTAATACTAATTACTATATATATATATATTACTAATACTAATACTAATTTTTATTGACGCTGATGATGTAAAATCGCATTAAATTCGAACATACATGTAAAATCACATTTACTGGCAGAAATCAGAAGATCTATGAACATGGAATTATGACACTGCCTGAAAGATGGCAAAAGGTCATCGACAAAAACGGACAATACCTAATTGAATAAAGTTATATTTTTAAGCAAAAGTTTTGAATTTTCCCTCTTATTTAAAATACTCAGTCGCTTAGTTGCCAACCCAATATGTCGCCATAGAGCGACGGCCAGGCACATTTATGCAAATTTCTACGAGGATAATGAAAAGATAAAACAAGGATTTGTTTTATCTATGGAATATTGTAACAGCTACTGGTATTTCGGCTGTTTTATATATTTTACGCGCGTGATGCGTTTTCTACGAACTTTTCCACCTTGAAATTTCCCATAGACGCGTAAAAATGCGCAGCCTATTGCCGCGGCATATTGATATAATCCTGGAGAAGAATGTGAAATCAGTG